TGACTACTGACAAAAGGATCCAAGTTACTGCTTTGTGTGAAGTCATGCACACCCATGGGGTAAAGTTGCTGGTGGAGAAGACAATCATTTTAGAGGACACAAACATTATCATCAAGGTAAACAATTCTCTCCCTGATGTCCTGAACAACAAAAAGAACTAGAGTGTCTTTCTGCAGCTCACATCTTAAGATGAGAATCTGGGGATAAATGCATTAATTTAGGCTGCAATTTTCAGATGTTGCTCTAAAATTCTGCCTCCTCAAATTGAGGAAGTAAGCACGCGAGACACCAATTTTGAATCTTTGCCTGAATCCGCCCACTGTTCTTCAGAACAGCTCTGGTACCTTCTTTCTTTCCCAGTCACATGCCACTGCCTTGAGTTCACAGAACTTGTTTTCATTTCATCTGTATTCTAGTTACTGGCAGGCGCTTGTGTTGCCTTTAAAATACTTTGCCTGCTCCCAAAATACAGACTTAAAGGCTTAATTCTAATCTATGTTAGGGCCAACTTATATTAACACTTTAATCCTAATTAATGATGTGCCAAAAAAAGCACCACTCAGCAATCCAAAGATCAGACAGGTTTAATGAGATGTGTCTGTATAGCCAGGGCGCTATTTCACTGAAATTGTGCACAGAATACTGCATACAGCTTGGCAGCACTATTCAGCTAATCCAAATGCAGCTTCAAGTATTAGGAAAGGCATACCAACTGTCAGTTACATTTCATTACTCCTACCAATCTCACATTCCTCCTCAAATATGAGGAGTGTTCTGCTTATAGTTTGAATGAAGTCTGACTCCAGAAAAGCATAAAACAGTGAATGATCAGAAATGTGTCTTTATCATTTAGATTCCTCGTCGGGTTGTAGTGAACAAAACTGTTACTCTAGAGATCTCCTATGCCAATCCCCTCCCTGAACCTGTGAACCGCTGTGTACTGCTAGTGACTTTGATGAATCAACAGGTCAAGATACAGTAAGTGAAAGCTGTGGCATTTACTCAGTGCTTCTAACATGACCGATAGCATGTCTAGTTTCTCAATAAGCAAAAATCATGGTTGAATCGTCTTTTTCATATTTTCTATTTATGAAAATAAGAATGCCACCAAATACATATTGGGATATTATGATTTCTCAATCATGTATTCTGCCCCCCGCCCATAGGAACTTCTTTAACTAAAACCTGCTAACATTCTTACTTCCTGGGAAAGCAAATGGGCACATCACATTCTTTTGTCTCTCTTATATTTCTTCTACAGCTTGGCTTTGTGTTTCTATTTTTATATACAGTATCCTAATACTACAAAAATAAGTCCGAGCTAAAGCAAACAAATAAGACCTTGCCATAGCTCCCCTAGTTCCAGCCCAAACAAGAAGTTGCTCTGTTCTCCTTTGAAGTAGGAGAAAATAATTCTTTTTTTTCTTTTCCTCTGGACTCTGCTGCTTCATGGATTAACTCCGTGTGTTAATTAAGTGTTGAGTAGTTCATATTTCCTAAAGCTTATTAGAAACCAGCCTGACTTGCTGTGGCTCTGGAAATATTTGGACATAATAATCCATAAAAATATGGAAAGCATTATTCCAGTGAAAGACTAAGCCAATCTAGACCAAAAGGAGACACAAAACAAAGCACCCTGGCCATTAGAAAATCATATTATTGCCAAAATGGATACGAACCAAGCAGGCATCGGACAAAGCGCTGACCTTTGACATCGGAGTTTTCCTATTCTAAATTGTTGCCAACTATACAAACTTGTACCCAGCCCTAAGATGGAGGCATGACGTAGCACTTCTAATTTTCATCTGTCTATTCAAGCGTAAATGAAGATGGTACTATCTTTTCTCATTTCTTAGTCTACACAAAGCCTCAAGCCCTAAGTAATTCTTAAAACCCAAGTCTGGGTCTCAAGTAACTGTTGGTACCCCAGCTATCATGCAGTTCTGCTTCTTGGGAAGCTCAAGGAAAGACAATGCAAGCCTGAATTAATTGATTTTTTTTTCCTTCTTCTCCAGTCTGGCACAACTGGCACCAAGGGAGAGATCAAAAATTTATTTTGAATTCACACCTCGCAGGACTGGGCCCTTACAGCTGCAAGTAGACTTCTCTTGTGACAAATTTTCACATGTTAAGGGATTTGTAACCATTGCAGTAGCACGTGCCTAATGTGATGGAATCAATCTATCTCAGCATTAACACGGCAAGACTTTCTCCTCTGTATAGGGACAATGATGACAGCAAGAAACTTTCCACAAAAATTGGTGACCTTTTACATTGCAATAGAATCAAGTCTCCTGCTTTTACAGTGCTTATTTAGTCTCTAATTGTATTTCTTTAGTCTCTAATTAATTGTATTTCTTTTTTTGTCCTCTTGACTAGAAAAATGAAGCCCCTTCCTTGTAGAAGTAGTTTCGCTGTTTTATCAAATCTCTTTATGTTAAGCACCCAGTTTTGACTTTTTCCATCAGATAATGAATACAGTCTCTTTGTGACCACATGCTATTTGTCAGCAATAAATAAAAACTATTCATATAAGTGTATTCTTTTATAATGAATTGTACATTCCATGGAAATATGAGAAATCACAGTATTGAGGAAAGTTCTTTTTCCTTCATTTCACAAGCTTCTTACCTAAAAAAGTACAACATTTCCTCCATTGTTCATTTAATTTCTGTGTTTTGTGACACCTGTAACTGCGAGTGGGGAGGAAAAAAGCCTACAAAGGTTGGAAAACATAGCGTTTGGGGTCCCCAACAACAATACTCCTATAGCCTGTGCACGTAGGCCTGTCAGAGAGTGGACAGCATGTATACATATTCAAACCGGTAACCTAATCCCTATGTAATGTGACAGAGTCCCAAGCACCACAAAGCACGGGGAGAGTCTTGCATTAACATGGAAGTCCAGCAACACAAGGTAACGAACACTTTTTACCCACCAGCGTAAGCTCACTGGAGACAGGGACACGTTCATCTTCAGGCCTTCCCAGTGTGGCTCATTCACAGGCAGCCCCTACTCCACACCTCTGTCACATTTGCATACAGATACCTCTTTTGTGGGTTCCCGACCCTAACATTTCCAGGTACCAGGTCTCACCTGAAACACGCTTTCAAGTAGCCTTATAGATTCCCTATTACTGCAACACAGCCTCTCCAGGGACCACTGCGAAAGCTAATGACTGACAGGGCACAGTGACCCCCTGGGCACGCTTCAGAAGTAGGGTGTAAGGCAATAATGGTGTACAAACAGCTCTGCCAAGCCTGAAGATTTAGATTTGTTGTCCAACTTATAAAATGTTTAAAGCAGGATTAAAAAGGCCAAAATTTTGGACCACAGAGCTGTCAGGAGTTCGATACGAAAATCTTTTGTCTGACAGGTGATATTTCAGAGTCTGACACATCCAGACATGACCACGGATTCTTACTGAAAAAATACACAAGAATCTATAACAAAACTTTAAATTTATTTTTTAAAAAGGAATCTAATTTGCCTTTTTTGGTTGCTGGTAATCTTGATATTAATGAGGAAACAAAACAGAAAACAGCAACAGACAAAAAAAAAAAAAAAAAAACCACAATGTAGAAGCAGAGGTGAGGGAAATAAGGGGTCACCCCTTCTCCCTTTACACCCCTTACTCCTCAGTCACAGTCCACTGAGAGCTCAGAACAGCGTGCAGCCTCCTCTCGGGACAAATTGGCAGGGCACATTTCTAGATAAGTTGTGACACAGGATGAGGGAGGAGAGAGCATGAGGGAGCTTCAAGAGCAGGGAAGAGTGTCTGTAATTAGGGTAGGCAGGGCTCACACCAGAAAAACAGCTCTGTAGCTTCCTCCAGGGCCCAAGTCAAGATGCCATGCTAAATAGCCACAAAGAAACCACGTACACGTATTATGAACACCAAAGTATAAAGAAAATCAGAGGCAGCCATTAAACACTCTTCTGTACTTAACAGAAATCCCTGATGCATAGGTGACTGCATAAAAATGACCTCTCCGTGGTATATATTGCTTCTTATATAAGAAATGCATATTATAGGTAATCATGTCAGGAACAGATAATGAGAACGGCACAACTCTGTATGCTTCCAAGAAAGAATTAATTGTATGCAGTTATGTGAAAGATCTTCAGGCAGACCTGCCTTGGGGTGGGGGGGAAGTGGTGACAGTAACACTAATATATTACAAAATCTACTTAGATCACTCCATGTCCCATACATCCATGTTGTACGATATGTGTATTTGTCTATACATGCCCTCTTTACACAGATTCTCCAAAACCCTAAACTGACGCACACCAAGCCATCCAAAGTTAAGTTTCTTCTGTCTACTTAAGACTGTATTTCTATCATTAGATCCCATTTGGGATGTTTTCCTCTCTTAGTAGTTAAGACACCAGGACACTGTTTATCATCTTTCCTCAGCCATTCACCAGTTTTAAATAAGCATAATTAGCCTCAAGATTGTGCAATTAAAGCAGCCATAAGTAGATGCTCACGTAGGACATTACCACAAAACCAGTAACTAGCAACCACAGATCACACCCAGCTTGTATAAACTCTACCTTAAGTAGCAAAGTCGAGAGTCCTAAGCCTTTTGTTACCCATGCTGGTGGAAGAGGATTCAGATTGTTCTTGCACACTTTTGTACCCGTAACCCGAACTACACACAAGCGTGGAAAAGAAGAAAGAAACCTTATGGCGGGTAAGTTAAAAACAGCCTGATCGCTCCAGACATCACCCTTCCAACACAGATGAGTGACATTTGCTGAGGAAACGGGATAAATTGCATCTAGGGGATCTCTTGGCAATGTAGCCCTTGTTTGGTTAAATGCATTTATGGGTTATTCTACGAGGACTGATTTATTTATTTTTTTTTAATATCATCTTGAACATTCTTTTTTCCTGTACCTCAGAAAAATATTTTTCTATCATATGCATTAACTACTCTATACAGTGCTTTTGCAGCCACCTAATCAACACGGTTGGGTAGTGATTCGGGCATCAAACTGCCACATAGCAGTCCCAGGCTCTAATCCCTCTCTGATATCGAATTGATGTCTGGCCTCAGACAGATCAGTTGATGGCCTCTGGACTCCCACATTCACCTCCCTACAGAGCGGCGATGTTAGCCTGTGTGCTGCTTTCTCAAATGCAATCCCAATAGCTGTGTATTATGTTGCACTTGCTCTCACTCTCGTGATGACTGGAAATATCTCTAGTTAGAAAGACGTGTCATGTAATACACACACGCAGAGCCTATCTACAATTTAGCCTAAGGATTTTTTTCTGTTATAGCTTCAGCTTTCTGTCAGAGGAAAGATGAACCTTGTGTGCATAATGATCAGCATTTTCAGCAGCGATCACCAATTCTGCAGACTTTTGCTTATGAGCATGCTCCCAACATCTATCCGTTAGAGAATAAACACTTACCCAAACAAATTTTCAGAAGTTTGTCCAATTGTACGTTGACAGGATTATTGAAAATATGTTTTTCCAACAGAGAGCAGAAAAAGAAATCGTAAGATTTAAATTGAAATGTGAAGATCTAAACATGGGGAAATTTGAAGTACACCGGACAAAAGACTGGTATCAGGCTTTACTGTGCTCTTGCCCAATATATAAACCATTTTTTTGCTGATCTCCTGCACATATTCACTAGAAATGCCTGTGTAACTGTGGGCTTTGCAAGGCAAACCAAACTATTAATGCAGTAAATTCTTAGAGTTAACCAATGCTAGCCACTGCCTTCTTTATCTTTCGTACATCTCCAGGTGCCCCCTCTTACTTTGTTGTACATCTTGTCTTTGCCCGTACATTCCACTGACAGTCTTTGCAGCACTGTTTAGTTCCTGAAACATCAGAGTGCCGCTGGTAACAAACCCATGACGCAGTTGCTATTAAATCCTATATGTGCTACATTTTTATTTGCAGACATGCAAAATGCTCTTAGTTATCTGCATCACTGTACAACTAATGATGTGCACGCTCCTTGCCCTGAAGAGCCCGGACATTTATCTTGCACAGTTCAGGATACACAGTGGTAGGATATACACGGGTAAAGTGTTGCAAGGGTAACTTTTCAAACCCTGAGCCCAAGTGCCCTTCAGAAACACATTCTAATTTCCTCTTAAATTAGAGAACTTGAAATTAGGAATGCTGTTTTCTATAGATTCTTTTCAATTAAACATATTTAAGTCAGGAAAATAAAGTGATGATGCAAGAGAGAAACTTTCCAGACATTTTATATCATGTGACTCAAACATCACACGCCAAGCAATGGAATTTTTTTCCCTCCAGGTGACATATCTGAAACAAGTCCCTTCACTTAATTGAAAGTACTCAAACATGTTTATGCTCACAGACTATAGGAAAGCAGCTTGCTCCAGGCCCTTACTGCAGCCTCAGAGCCACCCGTGCATATTCACATTTCTTCCAAAAAGCTGAAAAATGAGCACAATGACTACATCAAAACTTCACAGAATGTAATTCTGTGCTGCAAATCCAGCAGAAAACTCAAATCCCGCCCTCTTTATTTCTGTGATAGAACCCTACGGATTCCCTTGGATATGAACCTCATTCCAAGTGATTCAAGGTGGTGCTAAACCAAGTTCAGTGAAATGATTGAAGTGTTGCTCATAGTATCATTAGTCTGCAAAGGGTTACCATGCTCTAGTCGTGGCAGGAAATTTTCTTCAAATGAAATTCCTCAGGAATATCATATTGGGGAAAGGCACTTCTCAATCACGTGTTCATAGAGGGATCTGTATTTTTTCTGTATTTTTTGTTGTTGTTGGTTTTTTAATTGAGGAACAAAAAAGGTTGAAAGCCTCTGTAATCTGTGCCTCAGTGTCCCATTTTCAATAGTAGGCAACCTATCGTGATACACTAGACCAACCCCTAGCACCAGCTCAAGATTCGCTACTCCTAGTCCTACCATCTGTCCTCTGCTGGTTATCTTTTTCCAACAGTGTGTGAAATAACACCCAGCTTCAAGCAACAAGACTATTAATCAAATGAGATATGAGATATGTGAGAAGATAATGTGCAAGTTCAACAATGAAGATACTAGCTTTCTATTCATCATCTGTCATACACTGTTTCCAGGATCAAGTCTAATACTTCTTTCTGTACACCTGTAAAGCACACTGGGAACTAGAGATCCCCACAGAAAAAGAGCAGGAACACGGTAGAATAGAACAGTCTCTTCAAATTTTAACAAAGTCTTAACTAAACAGGGTTTTATTTTTTTTTAAATCAAAGAAGAATTCTTTGAACAGGTGTTTTTTCTGTCTCTAAAAGATGCATGCAGAAATGATAGTTTAGCTGTTCCTCTAAGTTATTATTTAGTTTGCAGTTTTTAATAACAGTGGATTTTTCTGCTTTCCTAAAACATATGACTCCAGCTATATATAAATATAATAAAATTACTACTTTAGATAAGCTGAAAAAAATCTACAAGTTTGAAGGAAGAATGCTTTCAATTAACTTGCCTTGTGTCTTTCTAGCCCTGAAAATCAAAAATGTCAATTGGCAATCTAAACTAAATAAAGCTGCTCATCACACCTCTGATTACAGCAGCACAGAAGCAATCTTGAGGAGAGGACAGGCCTTCGGCATCACTCTGAACCTCCAAACAACAGTGCAATCTGGGGACAACTTCACCTTTATTGCAAGCACAGGTAATTTCCCCATGTCACTCACCTCACATCCAAGACACTCCAGCTCCAAAACAATAGAGCCTCACAGCTCTTCGTGGTCCATTCCCAAATCGTTAAGGAGCCATCATTCATTGCCCTTTTAGGCTTAGGAGCTCCCATTTTTAAGTCCAATCCGTACCTTAAGGCAATAGACAGTTAAGGTCATAATTAGTAGCAAGGTATTATTCTAAAAACAAGCCTGTATCTCTACCCCTAAGGATCTACCTGCAACACTGCAAGTTGTCCTCATTCTGTGATCGCTGAACATTTTGCAACTCCACCTCTCTCAGACCATCATCCCCCATTTGTCTCCCCTCCTGACTCTCTACTTCACCTGTTTAAACTCCCCTCAATTAACTTCATGTGTTCCCTATTACTAGAGCAGTCTACATGACACACACACACCCACGCCCCCTTCATAAGACTCCTATCTGTATCTTCCCAAAAGGCTTCTCAAAAAAATTCTCCAGGCAGCTGCTAGCTCTTAATGAAATGTGTATTGAAATGTGTCACCCATCCTGCCTACATACTTTTGAACTGTCAGGTTTTCAGGACAACAGGCTTGCCTCCTCACTTCTCTAGAATTATTATGGGTGTACTCACCTTTACTGGGTTGTGCACAAAATACAGAGGGCTGCATAGTATGATTCTATGGATTGGAGTGCAGCTAGTTTACATCAAATAAGCATTTTATCTGATAAGCCACAGTCTTTCAATGTAGTCATTAAAAAAAAATATGGAATTGAGATCATCACTGACCCCAAGTTTATCACCCACAATGTCATTCAGAATTTCTGTCCCTGTTCCCTCTGGCAGGGCCATCTCCAGCAGAATCACAGCAGACCAAGGCCATATTTAACCTTTCTGAGGAGGGTGCCAGTGGCTGGAGCGCAACCCAAGAGCCCAGTGAGCCCGGCTGCATGAACTTCACGATATTCAGCCCAGCCAATGCTGTCATTGGACGATACAAACTCAGACTCCAGATCGTTTCTGGGAACAAGGTCTCTTCAACACTCCTGGGCCAGTTTGTGCTACTCTTCAATCCCTGGTGTCCAAGTACGTTTTGATTTATCATGTCCTTCAAATACCTAATTGTCTCAGTCAGGAAATCTGGGTGTCACCATAAAGCATGTATCTGATAGCCACAGCTACAGAAAGATTACTTTTTTTTGCTCAATATCAAGGATCAAGTTTTTGCCCCTTCAGTGCTGCAATGCATCAAATATCCAGCCTCTTGCTTGTAGAATGAAAAATCAGAGGCAGGAAATACTCCAAGTATTAATTCTGTCATTTTTTTTCCCCTCTGATCCTTGTGTTCAGTTGTAAACTGAGCAATATCTACCAGTAAGACACATTCTGAGATTAGTGAAGGGACGGGAGCATAGTCAGTTCCCCCCAAAGGAACATCATGCTTATTTTATTCAATATAAATTATTACAGAGTTATAGCAGGGAGTCCTAAGCCTGAATGCACAGGCAGTCTGATGTGTTCCCTAGAAATCCCCTTGAAGTGTGATTTTCAGTTACAGCAAACCAACTTTCCTTTCAGCCAGCGTGTCTCATTCTGCTTCTAGATGATGATGTCTACATGGCTAATGAAAAGGAGCGACAGGAGTATGTCCTGAATGATAGCGGAATCATATTTCAGGGGCTGGAAAAATATATTCAACAAGAAGCCTGGAACTATGGACAGGTAAACAGCATCACCTATTCCAGAACTTTGAAAATAAGAACAGTGGGTAAATAGACCCCAGAAGAGAGAGAATCATTATCTCTCAGTATGAGAGTTCCATGTTCCTCTCTCACTTATGATTTTCTTGCAGATATACGTCTCACTTATCAATACATTACAGCAGCAACAGGATAATTTCCCCTGTCTGGCATGTCCTAGTACAGAAATAAAAGAAACAAAACACAATTTTAGTTTTCTTTTGCCTATTACACAAACTGGTGAAATTCTACCTGTTTCTTGACCCTTGAAAAGGGCAAAAGAAGCCATTCCACTATTAACCTCTAGGTACTGTGAGGCTAGCACATGTAAGTATTCACACAGTTGGCTCAGTAAGGGGGCAGAAGACACTGAAAGGATATCCCAAATCTACTAAGCTGAAACAACTCAAGTTGGAATTTTTGAAAATCAGTTTGGCCTTGTAAGCATAACTGCTACAAATACAGTCATAGCGGCAGCCCATCTGTAGTCACATAGCTCTCCTGCAACTTGTTGGGCCAGTCAGAACCATTCCCGACCACTCCATGCCTTACAACTGCACCAGCAGTTGCACAGACAGCATTTCTATTAATCCTCCTGATCACTGTGGCTACTTTTACACTAATAAATGAAACAAGGCCAGATCTGTTTTCCATCTCAGAGGTCAAGCAGCATCCTTGCCTGACCACATCCATTCAGCATTCTCTGGGCCCAGCACAATGCCTCTGGGACCCTAATCCACAGCAATGATTTTTGTGGGTTTCTTTCCGTTCAGATCATCTGATATAATAAAGTGAAGGCAGCCCATCAGAGTGACGCTTTCGTAACAGAAGGGCACCTGCAGGGGCATGACAGGATGTGGGAAGGTGCGGAGCCTGCTGAGCTGGACCTGCAGTGGTCTTGTCCATTTCATCAGGCCACATGATGTCTTCCTGAGTGCTAGTAGCTATGGCCCCAAACCATGCTCATAACCGTGCTGCCTTTAAAATACTACGGAGAGTCAACAGCCTACTGCTTATGCTTTCTTCTTGGCCCTACTTTCTTTAACAGTACAGAATAGGCCTGTATTACCAACATCACCCTATTGTGCCAGGAGAAGGAAAATAGGTGGGGAGTTTATCCTTGGGTTTATTTATGAAATTAGCCTTGAATACATTGCTTGCTTTGATTTCAGTTTGAAGAGGATATCCTTGATATCTCTTTGGCGATACTGGATCGAAGCCTGAACCACCGCCAAGATCCAGCTGTTGATGTATCCAACCGAAACAATCCTATCTACGTGAGCAGGGTTATCAGTGCTATGGTAAAGTGATCAATTAGTTACAGCTGTACAATGCACCTACGAACAAAGACACCGATACTTTACTGTGAATGCCTCAATGCTTTATAGGAGTAGCTAACTTTTCTGCAAAAAATACTACAGAAGGGATAAAATGGAAATTTATTCTCAAGGAAAAATACCCCAAAAGTTTAATTTACCTTCTTCCCAAAAGTTTGCTCATAACTGAAGGAATTTTTCCAAGAACTTTTGGGGGACGTTGAATCTCAGATGTATTTTCCTAACAGATTTTCAGTCCATTAGATCTTTTCACTAATTCGGAAAGCCTGTGTCCATTCTGAAATCATTTGATGATTTTTTTCAAACACAAAGAGAAACATGATATATTTTGGAATACCAGTCTTGGTATGGCTGCATTTAATGTGTGTATTTAGTATTCTTCACTTAAGGGGGATTAATTCAGTGAGGCCTGTATGCATTTCCTTCAACAAATAGTTACATCTTCACAACACACCCCCATCCTCACAAACACAAAAATGCACAACTAGGCAACTGAGAAGTTTTCCACTTTATAAATAATACATGCCTTACCACATTCCTTACCTGAGATTCCTCCTTTATAGCTATGATCTTTTCGCTCTTTTAGACAGCACTCACTTTAGGCAATTTCAATTTCAACATGAAGCAAATAACTCTACCTAGACGTACAAAATTACTAAAAGTACGAATACTTAAGAAAAAAAAATCATTACAAAGAACTTACTGGTTTCTGTACAACCATACATGACACTTCAACAGGCCTCTAAAATGTATGTGCACAAATATATACAAGCACAAGTTTGATCAAGCTATATGTGCTATATGCACATTTGCAACAAGTGCACATTCAGAGAAAAAATGTACTTCCTGAGGCTTCCATAAATCGCTTGAGAATGTGAACCAATACACAGTGTACCAGTATAATGACATACAAGGAGGTGAAATTACTCAGTGAAACAGAGAAAATTTAAATAGGCTGGCAGTCAGTACATTTGGGAACATCTGACCTGAAAAGCAAGGTAGTTTTGAGTCATCACACTCTACAATCTGATCCGGCTTTGATCCAATTGTTGCACTTGAGCAGACAAAATTCCATCTAAGATTCAAATACTATGTCCCACCACTCAGCCAATGAGAACAGTGGTACAAACAGGGTAATTTCTGCCTATTTCTCTCTCCCTTTTTCTGTAAATACTTTAATTCTCTAATGAGGACGACTCTTACAGGTTAACAGCAATGATGAAAAAGGAGTAGTGGAAGGGAAGTGGAATGGAAAGTACTGCTCAGGAACCAACCCCTTGCAGTGGAGTGGAAGTGTGACCATCCTTCGAAAGTGGTACAGGGGGAGATACAAACCTGTCCGGTATGGCCAGTGCTGGGTCTTTGCAGGAGTAACGTGCACAGGTACATGTGAAGGGATGAAGAATGCTATCAGAAAGGAAGCTTAGTAGAATTCCTGTAGTTTTAACTTTGAGACATTATTGTTGAAGCTGTTTCAGCCTTCACAGAGAGAGTGAAGAACCTATGCTCTCCATGCATGAAGGGTTATTTTCTTCTCTTTTAAACAGCCATAGGTTGTAATACTGCACCCCAGTTTTGTGAGTCATCAAACAAAATGCAAAGCAGTCTGCCAGGCTGGACTGGTGAAAAGAGCAAGGTTTCCTGATTCAAAGCTAGGATTCAAAGAAAAACAGTGCTCTTTTAAGTCTGTCTCCTCACAATGCCAGTTTTCTACTGTTGTGTCTTGCCTACTGGTGACACAAAACCAAATCACAATTCTGAGGACCTGTCTAGGGAGCTACAAGTTCGGAAAAGCATTTCATCTTAAGCAGTTTCCATTCAGAGCTGCTCTGAGAGACAAGAGACACTTTGGGGAAAATACAAAGGAAAACCAATGCAATCGAGACATATACCTCAGAGAGGAAGAGGGGGGGGGAAGTAGGTAACAGAGAAACAAACACAGGAAAAAAATGGGAGAGAGACCAGGATGAAGAATGAAAGATTAAAATAAATGGGTGAATCTAAGTCTCCTTAAAAAGAACATGGCAACTAAGAATGTCATGTGAGTGGAACTGGCTTCTAAGCAATTGTGCACAATGACTGTGACTTGCATCATATCTGAGAGGGAAGACTCTAAGGGTTTGTTTCCCCACTGAAAACATATACACTAGACTGCTTTGCCAAGAGAAACAGAAAAATACTTTCTAAATGTCTGTAAAATAGGTTTACAGTACTTTAATGGTATTCTGTATTGCAGTTCTGAGATGCTTGGGAATACCTACTCGTGTCATTACAAACTTCAACTCTGCCCATGACAGGAATATAAATCTGAGTATTGATAAGTACGTTGACATTTCTGGAAAAACCCTGCACTTGACTGAAGACAGTGTGTGGTAAATATAATTTCTTTCTTAATATTTCTTCCATTATATTCTCCTCTAATGAAAAGATCTAGAATCATGCTCCCGAAGAACATCCCCAACCTCATGCTCCCTGTGATATAAAACCCCCTACCAAAGAATCAACAGTGTTCAGAAATGCAATATGTAGGCAGTTTCATCATTCTGAAGAATTAACAGAGGAGACACTTTGTACCATTGTTATTCAACATATAATTTGAAAATATAACTGCTAATCTTGTCTCTACTGAATGAAAGTTTATTTTTTTCAAAAAAAAGCTGAAGAGTGATTAACCTCTTGCACAAAAATTGTATCAGCTTGTCCCTCAATTCCTAAAGCAGAGCACTCTCAGAAGCCCATAAGTTTTAGACCTAGTTCCTGTTGATTGTCTCAGTCTTTCATGATTACCATTATACATCCCTTGCACAATTCTGAGAGGTTACCAAAGTAAAGGTAATATGTTTAATGCAGCCTGAGAAAAATTTTTATCCCATCCCTTAGGAGATCATGCTGTTTCTTTCACCTCAGAGAAGCTGTTAAAAATTACGCTTTTGACAAACAAGTGCACAGAAACTATCACACTGCACATGTATGTTGTACTGCATCCATCAGTGTTGCAGTCACCAGGCACCCTATACCATGTGGACTGAACGGGACAAAGGTGTCATGAAGTAGAAAGCAATGGTGACTTAAATACCAACAAATAGCAATGTGTGCAGGAGAACTTTGGCTGTACAGTATGTTTGTCTGGAATGTCCAGAATCGAATACTTGACTTTGCAATGAATTATTTTCCTTTTAACATTACTTTTTTTGTAACATCCTAACATTTCTCAGAGATCTGAACACAAAAAGCTGGCAAAGAAGGGGAAAGAGGCACTCAAGAAAGGAGTCAGCAGCTGGTCTCTCCACAGAGTAGTTTTCATTCACTCAACTAGGGTTATTTCTTGCACTGCACCAGAAATGTATCAAATCTTTCAATATAAAATTAACTGTATGAATCAGGGATTCCCTGTTCTGCCTTCCTTACAGGAATTTCCATGTCTGGAATGAAAGCTGGTTCATTAGAAGAGATCTTGGCTCTTTTTATGATGGATGGCAGGTTCTGGATGCAACACCCCAGGAAAGAAGCAAAGGTAATACTGTGGGAAATACAAAAAGCTGTAGATATTGTTACTCCTAAAGACTGCTACTGAAATTTCAGGATAACTCTTTTCTATCTACTCTCTGTAGATGTAGCATTAATTCAGGTGCACAAGGAAAGCAATACCCATATCAGTCTCCGGTAGGTTGCTTTTCTGTCAGCCTCTGGATTGCCTACCAGCATGCAAATTCCCCAAGAGAAAATTGGGAAGGGGGGGGGGAAGAGAGGGGAGGATGACACTCACTTTACAGAGCTCTCTGTCTCTGTAATCTCATCCCCTACTTTTCTGAATCTATTCTAGGACTAGTAGGCAGCAATAGTGATCAGAAGACATAACCGACACAGGCAATCAGTCAATGCATTGGTCCTAATTATTTTGGCATTATGCATTTTGATAAAGTTGGAGTGGGGCCTGGGGGAAAGGTTGGGTGTTTTCACTTTGCTCCAGGTCAGATACCAGGAGATGAGAAAAAAAAAACACACTAAGAAGCTTGCTAGCAAGTAAACAGTGTGGATGACCAGTGGCCAGCACTTGGGTTCACACTTTGGCCTTGGTTTTATTTACTAATACAGACACAACTTCATTAATCTAGTTTGATGACCTCCATCAAAAGATTCATTTATTTGGCCATTTAAAATGCACGGAACCCCAGATAAACCGCTTCTCATTCCCCACTACTAAGTTTACCAGATTTAGCTTCCTGGTTCTTCTCAACGCACATACAGTATTGATCACTCCCATCTCATAAGTCTGATTGTACTTCTGACTCAGCTCCCATCCTCTCTCTTTTCACTAGACAGCTTAGCATGCAGCCTTGCAAGCTTTGAAGGGTTAGAACATTTCACATAGCACACATCATAAAAAGTGTTAGCTCTCCCAACACGTTATTAGCCTTATAACCTCCTCTGTGCATGTGGAATCTCTGGACATGATGTTACTAGAATGCACAGACGTAGAAACAATGGACTTTATCCAAACATGTCTTTGGAGCGACTACCTCGCTGTCAGCATGAGGATTTGTGTTCTTTCGCAATAATATCTTTCGCAGATATTTAACTTCTCCCTCTCTCTAATATAGGTATATATCAGTGTGGTCCTGCCTCCACTAGAGCCATTAAGGAAGGGGATGTGAACCTGGATTATGACAGCTCATTTGTGTTTGCAGCAGTGAATGCTGACTATGTTACTTGGATTCACTATAACAACAAAAGAAAAGAGAGAATTTATTCTGATACTAAGAAGATTGGAAAATTTATCAGCACCAAAGCAGTGGGCACCAACTCCCGTGTGGATATCACTGATACTTACAAATATCCAGAAGGTAAATTTTTTGTTACAGTTTTCTTGCCACTGATGGTCAGAAGTCAAAAGAATGTAGGCCTTTGTCGGATAGAGCACTGACTTATTGCTTTACTCCTTCTGGAGCAAAGTAATTGTGAATTTTCAGTCTTAGGGCTCATTGTCAGCTGACAGTGATTCAATATGGCCTTTGTGGCTCTTGAAGGAATACTAATGTATTCAATACAAAGTCAAAGCTACTTCTGTAAAACGTTCTGTCCTAGCTGTTCTGATCAGTTGGTGAGAACATTTGTTATGACAGGCAGCAATAGCCATTCTGGTTTGGGGAGAATTTCTGCAAAAGGACTTTTTCACCCTCCTTAATTTCAGAGCAGATGGCAACTGCCCCAGCTTATGCAAAACTGAGCTCTCCCAGGAGTTACCTTTCTACTGCTCACAGCTTCTAAGAGGTGCTCATGAACAGCCAGCTGAAGCAGACAGGCAGGTTTTACTTTCCATCCTTCATGGCCATGTATATTCATTTGCTTTTGTGCCAGTGTCCTGGTTTTAGCTGGGACAGAGTTCATTTTCTTCCTAGCAGCTGGCATAGCGCTGTGTTTTGGATTTAGTACTAGAAGAATGTTGATAGCACGCTGATGGTTTAGCTGGTGCTAAGTAGTGCCTAGCCTAGTCAAGGACTTCTTGGCTTCCCCTGCTCTGCCAGGGGCACAAGGAGCTGGGAAGGGGCACAGCCAGGACAGCCGACCCCAACTGGCCCCAGGGCTATTCCAGACCATAGGGCCTCATGCTCAGTATAGAAACTGGGGGACATTGGCTGGGGGCATCGATCACTGCTGGGGACGGGCTGGGCATCAGTCAGCGGATGGTCAGCAATTGCATTGTGCATCACTTATTTTGAAGAATATATTATTACTACTACTACTGTTGTTGTTGTTGTTGTTGTTGTTGTTATTATTATTATTTCTTCCTCTGCTGTTTTATTAAACTGTCTTTATGAAAGCCCACGGGTTTTACTTTTTTTTTTTGCTGATTCCCTCCCCCATCCCACCAGGGGCGGGGAGGGTGAGCAAGCAGCTGTGTGGGGCTTAGTTGCTAACTGGGGTTAAACCACAACAGTCAAAATTAGCATTTAGGTTAGACCTCACTTTCTCCTCTTGTGTACCTTTGCCCTCCTCAGCTTTCCTAAATTGTATTTACTGAGAGCAATTATGGCTCCATTGCACTATATCCAGCATGCATGAGATGTCTGACCATATTATTTTTCAAAGCAGGATCCCTGAAAGAAAGGCAGGTGTATAAAAAAGCACTGAAGCTGCTTGGTGTGAGAAGCAGTGGGAAAAGAACCAAAATTACAAGACCTAGAAGACGATCTTCAATAGCATGGAGACAAAATGTGACACAGCCTGCACAAAACCCCAGTATCTCAGGGAAGCTGATCCTTGATGCACCTCCTGTAATTGGCCAGGATATCCTCCTTACCTTGGCACTCAGGAACTTGATCTCAGATTTCAAGACCGTAAAGGTTAAACTGAGGGCTTCAGCCATTCTGTACACAAGAAAACCGAAAGCAGAGATTTTGCAGTTGTCTAAGTCTGTTAAACTTGGATCTGAAGAAGGTAAATTTTAATTTTATCACCGCTTAGGACAAGACATAGCTTTGGTTTGTGATGAAATCACATAGAAATAATGAATGTCTCAAGAAGTGCATGACCTGCAAACAGCTGGAGATTAAGGCTATTCAGGGGAAGAGAAACATATATGTATTTGCCCTGTCTTAAGCAATTGCTTTTGGGCACTGTCAGGCAGGATACTGAGCTGGGTGACCTTTTGTCTGACCCAGCACAGCCATTATTAGTTCCACATTATGACCTTTTTTGCTCAGAGAGAACAACTAAGAGACATACACTGGTGACTCCTCAGCTACCAGCTCCCCAGCAAAGCATAAAGATGGATTAAAGGGGGAAACATAAGCCTACCTCCTTTGCAGCAGTAGGAGACAGCAACTACAGACTGCAGTTAAGAGCTACACTACCTGCAGACAGTGGTGTCTGCAGGTCTGGTCCCTACCTTTGTAGGGACCATGCTGCAAAAGGAGATGTGTAGCCCAGATGGACATGACTACCCTCTCAAGCTAATACACAGCCCATTATAATTCTTTCCACTGTTCCAGCAGTAGATGAACATTTTTTCTCAGTGTACTGAGATTCATTGCCTTCCTTACTGGCACAGAGACTGTGACCGTGCACCCTATTTAAGGCAGAGGCTGAACAGCTGCACCAGCACGGGCATTTAAACCAACCCATCTTTTCAATTCTGCCTTCTTTGCAAGGAAGGAGCAGTAAATGCCCAGCTTCAGATAAATGAAAACCCACCAGCAGGGGTTGCCACGTATATCCATCCTCAGAACTGTCCAGCTACCGAACTGTACCTGATCATTTAGTGTTTGATGGGAATCTAAGTAGATGCCACCTATGAGCATCATTCCTGTCTGTTGGCTGTCAACACCCACAAATGGACAGCCCCAAGGTGATAGCATCCTTGCTTCTTAAAATACGGATATATTACAGACAGCCGGTACTTAGACACAGAAGAAAGAAGAGGGGGAAAATCTGTTTCTATTTCCATTCCAGTGAAAGAGATTTCATTCACGATCTCCTATTCCCGATACAAAAACTCTCTGATGGATGACAGGAAGATACTAGTAACTGCTGTGTGTGAAACCAAACAGGGAGCCTCACTTCTAGTGGAGAAAGATATTTTACTTCAGGATCCTTTTCTCACCATCAAGGTAAAAGCTAACCTGTGTTGTGTCCCTAGAGAGATGTGTTGAGAAGAAGCAACTAGAATCCTTACTTCATTTATTCCTCATGGGAAGGACTGTGGGAAGTGAAATCATGCCTGAGGGTGATTTGATCTTGTTGCTCTAGTAATAGGCCATATGACACAAGTGAAATTAAATACACTAAGGAAAAGCAAACCTTCCCAAGGCATAGCTGTGTTATGGTGTTCTTGACAGTTCTTGTTGACATGGCAAGTTCGCAGTGTTACGAGGGTTACAAGGTAAGGTTATCTTCAGAGAGACAGACAGACAGAGAGAAACAGAGAGAGACAGAGAGATCTAGTCCGTATCTAGGCCTCCACTTTTGTCAGGGAAGTCTGATCATTCTCTTCCAGTTTATTTTGGAAGCCGGATTTTACCAAAGACATCTTCACGGACTAGCTGATAATGCCTGGGGCTGTGAGGCTCCTTATTACTAATACTCAAGGAAGTTCTTTCATCTTACCAGGAAAAGTGGCACTTTTCACCTTTCTGTAACATCTTCCAACATGATTAATAATTAGAACTGGATGGGGTTTTTTCCACTTAAGACTAACTTCTGACAAATGTTGTCCAATGGGTAAAAAGCAAGTCTTAGTCTACAGGGAAGACCATGCACAATGTCTTCCTAGGGACAGTCCTGGGTTTGCATGACCCATCGCATCCACATAAACTGGCTTAACTTGTTTTGGACAGTTCAGCACGTTCACATGCTGTATCAGACATGGGATCAAACGCTATCTGCCTACTGTACTGTAAACAGCATAGAGGGAGTATGGTAATTTGCAGTGTCTTTCAGAGCCTCCAGACTAGATCAGCTATCCCAAACCACTCCGTCAATAGCATACAGGAAAAGCAAGGTTACAGGAATAAACAGTTTGGATTTTTGTGATTTCTGACTACCAAGTTCTAGTGAGACTTTGTAAAAAAGCCTTCTGTGCTGTATCATGCAAATTACAGTCAGCTTATGCAGGGCAGGCACCTGAATTTAATTACTTCGATTCAGAGACTAAGTTTCAAGAAGGGTTTATGTTTCTGCTGATTGAAACTTCTGTATAAACATACAGTAAATAATAGAGAAATGCAATTGGCATGCTGGACTTCTCCACTATGTTAATCAGTATTACATTATCTACAAAGATAATAAGATATGCCAATTCTACTTTATCTCAGTCAAAATAAGGTGATGAATATGCTTATTTGCTACTTGGCACTCTATTTTTTTTACCTGAGGTGCCACAATTCACCTCTGTCTCATACCTCCAATTTTTTCTAATCCTAAACCTTTCATTTAGCCTAACTAAAGCTAATTTGACTTAAACTGCCTACAGTAGTTAGCCATATATGCCAAGTTAATACTTGCATTCTCATTCTGTTCTCACTCTGATAAGTATTGTATATCGTGTTATACCTAACACTGTACACTGACCTAGTTTAAAAGTTAGGACGAAATGGTAGATTCTACAGTCGTTTGTTCTTTCTCAGCCACACTGAATATTTGATTCAAGCCTGAACTCTGATACCCAAAAATATGCACATGTATCAACTCCTGGCTCCTTCCTGTCCAGGAAATCCTAAGAGGGTAAGTGGTTTGCAATGGGAATGAAAAGAAAAAAACATGAGAAAGAAGCGAGACTAACGCTGCGGCTGAGCAGAATGTTTTCTCCCGTAGGTCCTTGGTCCAACAGTGGTACACAAGGCTGTTAATGTGCAGGTCACCTTTACCAACCCACTGTCTGAAGTGGTGACAGACTGCATGCTGAGAGCAGAAGGTAGCGGCCTGCTCAAAGAGCAACTCAGAATCAAGTACGTGAATGCTATCTGGCTATTAACTCAATCACTTTGGTGGGAAATCTGGAATAAAAGTGGGGTTTTTTTAAAAGATTCTGTCAACCTTATGACTTTTGTTTGCACCATGGTATTGGACAAAATACCATCATGTCAGTACTTTCCATATACTTGTTGGAGTCAGGGAGTGGAGAGATGGCCTGCTTTTAATGACAGAGTGTAAATCAGAGTGCTGTAGTTAGTGAGTGAATTATATAAAGGGCAAAAAAGTAAAAACCTTCTTTTTGTGGTTCGCAAAGGGAAAACCAAACAATCCTTGAAGGGTAAGAAAGAAAGTGATGATCTTGTTTCCTTCAGATATTAAATTACTAAAGATATTACATATACTGTAATGAAATGTCTTAAAAATGTGTCCACTGATATCATACCAGTGAGAAATTGTTCTTCCATCTCCTCCATGGTTATTATTTTAACAACATTTTTTAAAGTCTTCAAAATATTTATGCTGAGGGAGTTAGCACCAAGAAACAGTGAGAGGAAAACAAAAAAGATGGCAAAAAAATGGGTAACAATGTGAATCACTAAGGCTTCATTTACACTGAATACAAAATTCAGGTCTAGATCCTGACCTTGAACCTCACCTTGCCTTACCAGCATTGGTATTGCTCAGCTTCAATGCCTCCTTAGAGCAGAGAGGCCCTTTTCCCCCACTCACTCCGTTTCCTGGTGCTACTATCAGTCTCCTTGTGTTGGATGGCCAAGAGTAATTTCTAACTATGGACATAATATCAACAGGAAAATATATTTACCACACTGAAATACAGCATGAGCATATCTAGAGAACTGTAAATGTTGTAAGTATTGGGGGTAATACATGCAGTTGGATTTGAGCTCTTCTAAAGATAACCTTTCTGATCATTCCTCAGGTGCTCAATACGTTTTGCCCTCATGATACAATCCCTAATTCTCTGTCACAGCTTGAGAACGGTGACTATTCCACCACATCCATTATAGCTTGATTAGTTCTTCAAGGATAGTGTTGTGGGAGCTGTTAACATGGAGGTTATGTCCACCTGTGCTAGGAGCACACAAACACAGCAGCCACTTTGACTCTTCCTTTCCATACTGTCTTAGATTTGGGGACTCTGAAGGGCAGATAGCAAGAATTTTTCAGCTGCTTGAACTTACAGACATATTCTCTCTTTCAGTGTGGCAAGAATGGCCCCCATGGAGAGCTCAACAGTCCAGTTTGAAATCATCCCCTACAAGAGCGGCACCAGGCAGCTTCAGGTGGATTTGGTTTGCGCACATTTTTCAGACATTAAGGGATTTGTGATGCTTGATGTGGCTACTGCTCAGTGACACAACCCGTACATCAGTTCAGTTTTGTCTCCTTCTATGAGACTGGTACAGTGTTCATACATTACTATGACTGGGAGCACAGAAATGCAGACTAGTCAGCCAAAGTAAAGCGAAGTAATATGAACAGAAATTAATGAAAAGGTACTATACACTATACTGTAAAGAAAGTGTCAACTTTTTCATTCCCTAATCTGTTTTATGGACTTTCATAAATACAATTACTAGTAGAAATCATTATGCAATTTAACTTGAGGGAAAGGATCAACTGTGATGGTTTTCAGCATTAGAGCCTGTAGCAATGATAGCAGTTAGATTTCCAGGGAACACGATTTAAAACCACTAGTTTTGTAAGCTCCATTGAGTGTAATTCACTAAATGTAAGTTTTATTCAGTAGCAGCCAAAGTACTATCCAAGTAGCTGACACAACTCAACTCTAGAATTAAATTTATCATTTCATCTAATTACTAGAAGGAAAATACAGGAATAAGATATGGCAATGTTACTATAGAACTCTCTTCTTATGACTGGAAAAATTAGAAGCTATTCACTAAACAATACTCTTTAATTCACAGTTTCCCTATTCAGATCATGATTTAATCATATGATAAATTATAAATAATGAAATATTTGGCAAAGAAATGACTAGGAGTAACAGCACAAAAGCAGATAAAAGAAACATGTCCTTGACTAAGGAGTGACAAACACTAGAGCATCTGAAATGATAACAGGCTAGGATAGCTGCTCCTGAGAACAGGAATGAAGCAGAACATCATTGAACTGTAAATAGATGATCTGTCGTCTGGACTAAGATACATTTATTTACTCACACAGCTCCTCACATAGGCACCACTGCCTCAAAATGCCCAGATTTCTTTCTGGATGAACTAAATGAATGAATGAAATTTCTCCCAAGATAAAAGGATAAATCATCATCGCAGCCAACCTGACTGAGACCAAAATACATTGCATTTCTATCCCTGATACACTATAGTTAAGCGCTATGCAAATTCTCATGTCTATACATCTTACAAATTCACCTCCTCACACAGCCTCGATTATCACTTACTTTAGTTGGCTCTACCAGGAAAGAAAAGAAAAGCATTTGGTTCTGGAGGGGTGGGGGTGAAGAGGGTGGGGCGGTATTTAACAAGGAAAATATACTGTAAGAGACGTCTTATATCCCGTATACTATGGGTTCAATCCCAAATCTTGTTCAACTGGCTGCATCTCTACAATCTCCCTCTCCCAAAGAAGCTTCTGGATAATAAATTTGGCATTTTAACGTAAAATTGTATTTTAATTAATTGATATTTTAACAGCAGCTTCCATGAAATTTCTTGTTGGATAACACTGCATTCAGCTACGACAAAACCACAGAGGCAGGAATATATGGAAATTCTCATGCAAGTCACAAAATATTTTGAGGAAATAGAGATGTCACAGCAAGGGTACTCAGAAGGATTGTAGGTGTACAAATAAAATCTCCTTTCTTCCAGGAGCATAACATTTTATCCACATCTTAAACCTCCATTTGCTAAAGTCTCCTTCTTCTATCAATCACACATGCAAAAGTATCATTCCTAGTGTTATATGTAAGACAATACAATCTTTAGCGATATATTATTTATGCAGTTGCACAGCACTCTTTTTAAAAGATGTGGTAAAAAAAATCTTTGCTCTAGTTTACTCCTTTTAATAAGCACTAAAAAGAAAATATCAAGAATTTTTATTTTTACAGGTGGTTAGAACTGTAGGATGTAAGAAATGTTAAGAATTCACAGGAAAAGAGAACATTGAACTCAAGAAATCATTCTGTTTTCATATAAACAAAACTTTTCATGAGTCTAAGAGAACGTAACTGCAACTGGCCCTGTGAAGTGGTGGAGCCAGGAATGC